CTCCAGCTTCAGGTGCGTGTCTAGGGCGGAGGCCGCGGAATTAATAGAATTAAATGAATTAATTAATTAATTCATTTAATTCATTTAATTCGGGGCTAAGGCCGCGGAATTAATGGAATTAAATGAAATGGGGGTGTGGCCAAATAGACCCCAAAGGCCCTTCTCTCTCTCACATATATATATATATATATATACATTATACATTGTTTAAGAATTGAGTAGAAAAAGCCGTAAAATACCCACAATATGCATACATGATATGCCTACTCTCTCACAGATGACACTCATGTACATAGATATCGGGTTGATGTCGGATTTGATGCGGCCTGCTCGGGAGACTCGCCGAGCGGCTCGTAGCGCACAATCTCCCGAGACAGGGATCCCGACTTCCTGGCTTGGTCTCTCAAGTTTTTATAATTGTCACTTAAGGGTTTCGGGTTTAGGGTTTAGGGTTCAGTTTCTATGGTCTTGTGCTATCGGAGTTGCAATAGGTTCTATCAGGGCCTCGCAGGGCGTCATAGCTTTGAAGGTCCTTTCGCCCACAACTACAATCGATAATATTGCGAACAGTCAAGGCTGCTGTCCTGTAGTAAAGGGTCTCTGTTTTTCCAGTTCTTGAGGTCGTCTCGTTGCGCCTTGGAATATACGGAGCAGGCTGCTATTCCACATGCAAGTCTTGCGTGTCGCGCATGTTCACGTTGGGGCGATGTCCTGAGGCTGAGGGGCAAGCACGACCGGCAAGGGTTGGGAGTGCACAGAGCATAAAAATAATAGTACAGTAGTAATAGTAATAATAGTAGTAGTAGTAGTAGTAGTAGTAGTAATAGAAGTAGAAGTAGTAGTAGTAGCAGCAGCAGCAGCAGGAGTAGTAGTAGTAGTAGTAGTAGTAGTAGTAGTAATAGTAGTCGTAGTAGTCGTAGTCGTAGTCGTAGTCGTAGTCGTAGTCGTAGTCGTAGTCGTAGTCGTAGTAGTAGTAGTAGTAGTAGTAGTAGTAGTAGTACTAGTAGGACTGGTACGTGTAGTATGAGTGAGGGAGGAAGGGGAGGAGGAGGAGGAGGAGGAGTGACTACGAAAACGGGTAGCAAACGTCATTGGCAGTATAGTCGTAGTAGAAAGCAGAACAAGTTGGAAGGAAATTGCAGAGCGGAGAGAGAACAGAGTCTGTGAACAGGCCATGTGGCAGGTACGGCGGCAGGTGCCAGCGGTCGAGGAACGCCAGACTATGTACCGTCAAGATCTGGGCCCGTAGCTAGGCTTTGGAGCTGGAGATTGAAACGGGGCCACAATTCTGTGGGTGTAGGGTTTAGGGTTTTTGGGGCCACATTGAGTGTAGGTTGCTAGGCTTAGGGTAGATGTAGCTTACAGCTGTGAGTGTGAAGCTCAAGTGAGGCGATCGCCACCCATGATCCGCTGGTCGTGCTCGAGAAACGCAGTAAGCCTGTTGCTTCAGCCTGTTGGTTTCGGGTTTAGGGTTTAGGGTCTAAGGGAAAGAAGCGACGTTGCTTAGACAAAGTTGGAATGCACAGAGAGAGAGAGTGCATAAACTCCACACCAGCTTTTTCAAGGACCATCTCCACAAAGCCCTACCGCATTTCCCCATCAAGCACGGCTCCCTGAACAAACCACGAATCATACTTAAAGGTTCATATGCCTTACAAACTAGGGTTTTGAGCAAGGTATATATATATATATATATATACTTATAGTTTCTTCTGAAACCAAATAAGTTACTTATACTGTACTTACTTTGTCCCATGAACCTCCAAGTAAGCCCAAGGGTTCCAAGTAATAGTACCTACTTGTGGCTCTGAAGTTCCAAAGTCTATAAATAACGAAGCTCCAAAGTCTATAGATAATGAAGTTCCAAAGTCTATAAATAATAATTACTTTAGGTTCTACGTGAAGTCTGTAAAGAATACCTACTTTGGGTTCTAAGGTCTATAAATACTAACGAGTAGTACCTACGTTGGGCTGTTTGCAGCCCTTTAGGGGAGGAGGGGCTTTTCGATCGAGCATCTGCGCGAGTGTTCTGCTGCTGGACGCCTCCTAGGCCCTCTTCAAGGTAACAGCCATTCGGCCTACCTCTTGTCTCCGTTGTGGTTGCGGCTTACCTTATAGGATCCTCAAAAGACAAGGTTAAACGGTTAAACCATAAAGAGGAACTACAATGGAGACTGATCTCAGGGTTGTACATAAAAAGATGCACAAGTAGCTAGATCGATCAACCTTTGTTGCCTGCTCGGCTCGTTGATTAGTTGCTTTATGTTGTATGTGTGCTTCTTTGCTTCTGTATCTGACTGTTACCTATCCACAAGTTGTGGATGTTTACTTCTTTCAAGCATTGGGTTGAGCTACCCATAGGCCCTAAAGTAGTTCCTTTTTTGGGCTTCATATATAGAATTCTACAAGGTAACCCCCAAAAAGGAACTACTATGGGGCCTATGGGTATAAAGATCCAGGATTGGTTGCAAGCAAAGCGGCACCCAGTCCCTGGCGGTCGAGGTACTGGAAGAGGCTGGAAGTCTTGCCTGAGATCTGCTTCTCTGACGGTTTAGGGTTTTAGGGTTTAGGGTTTAGGGTTTTTGGACGAGCCGCAGAACCGTACCTACGGTCTCCATTGTAGTTTCTGTTTTTGGTTTAGCCAATCTTATAATCAGGATCCTATAAGGTAACCCCAAAAAGGAACTAAAATGGAGACTAGAATACGTGAAATCTGAAATCCCTCCAAAAGCTTGAATGATTCGACCGGAGCTTAAATGTCAAGGGTTTAGAGGTTTAAGTTACGTATTCCTCAGACCCACTGTACTCCCCCTCCCCCGGCCTACCTTAGCGCTTGCTATCTCAGCGTACCATCTAAACCCAGAGCTGTAAGAATCCCAAGAAACGAGAAGTCGAATTGCCAAGGCCCATATATAACTTACAAGACCACACATCTCGAAAACCTAGGGCAACAGCTACACCTACAGTAACTGAAGGATTCTGGGCTTCACGAGCTGCGAAACCTTCGACGATCGTGCTAATGAAAAACCAATGTAGAAGGTTTCCAGTAAAAGGTTTGTTGCGAACAAGTGGGGTTTCCGAACAAAGATGCCTGAACCCTGATTAGAACCAGCACCCGTCAACTATATACCCTTAGTCCGACCATATGTGCAAATTACATTCTGATGTATATGGCGGGCTCCTGGTGACTAGTGAGTGGTCTCCGATATGTCACAGGCACCGCGGTAGTGCAACGTCTGCAGCCGCGCTGAGAAAGTTACCTGAGAGCTTCTTGCTGTGTGGTTGGATCTGGGTAGTTCTCTAAACTAGGGTCCCTTTTCAGGTACCCACTATAATACGGCACGCTTATGGAAAGGACCATGAATTTTCAAAACTACCCATTCCAGGGTTTAGGGAAGGACATGTTACTCCCGACAGACGTAATCGCAACCAGAGACGATTGAAATCCAAAGCAGACAGCTTACAGGCTTACTTGCCGTGCTCGTGTGTTGAAGCTAACGGAACGCCACGAAGTGTTGCAGTTTACTGGACTTTCGTGTTCAGGGCTTGATTGATTGGCCAGACGCCGGCAATGCCGGACAAACGTGCGTGCAGCAGAAGCTGATGCTGTCTTCTCAGAGCGGATTATTAGACCATGATGATTGGGTGATGGATGCGCTTTTTTCAGAACCGATCAAACTGGACGCCATCATTGCATGCAGCAGGACAAGAAACAGGCAAAAACAAACATATGCAAACAACGTCAACATCAACACTTATAAAACACTCGCGGCCAGACGCCATCAACAACTCGAGGAAAGTGCACATTGCAGAGCAAGAAAGAGAAGGGGGAAAAGCGAAGACACAGCAAAACAACAAGGGGTCGGGGCGGCCGCTCCGCCGCCTGGCAAAACAACATGACGAAGAGTCATGTCGCTAATATAGGAGCCTTCATAATGAGAATAGGGTTTCGGGTGTATTATACTA